AAGTTCCTTCCCTGACTGGTTATGGGGTCCTTCATATTGATTTAAATCACTGAGTTTGTAGAATGAGGTAAATCATGCAGAAATCAACTGACAAACTACCTTCAACTATACATTGGAAGATAAAACAATAGTCCATGGTCATAACTGCCACACTGTCTCCTTTGTTTAATTCTAGCAATAATGTGATTCTCCAAATCATAGTTAAGAGTGGTGGTTTCAGGAAGAATGGCTCCCACAGACAGGCTCATGTATTTGAATGCTTGGTCCCCAGCTGGGGGAACTGTTTTGTGTTGTTGCTGTTGTTGTAAAGGATTAGGAAGTGTGGCCTTGGGGTAGACACTGAGGTTTCAAAAACCCACACCATTCCCTGTTAACCAGTTTGTACTTTCTCTCTCTCTCTCTTTCTCTCTCTCTCCTTCCTGTTTGTGGATAAGGATATAATCTCTCAGCTGTTTCTCTAGCATCATGTCTGTCTGTTGCCATGCTTCCCGCCAAGATGGTCAAGGACTTTAACTTTTTGGAACTGTAAACAAAGCCCCAAATAACCTTTCTTTTATAAGTGCCTTAGTCACTATGTGTCTTCACAGAAAAGTAACTAAGACAGTAAGCAAACCTCCCTGTGCTGACAAGAGTAAATACCTTTTCAGGAACTACATAGGTATAGCTCTGTGGGTAAAGTGTTTGCTGTATAAAAATGAAGACCTGCATTCAAATCCCTAACTCCTACATAAAGACAATGCATGGATTACAAAGAACCCCAGGGGCTCTTGGGCCAGTCAGTCTAACAGAAACAGTGTGCTCTAGGTTCAACACGAGACTCCATCTCAAAATGTAAGGTGGGGAGTGATATGGGAAAACACTGACGCCAACCTGTTGCCTCCACACACAGATATGTACATACACATATGTATGCATACAACACACACACACACACACACACACACACACACACACACAGGTGAGCACACACATGAGTAAAATTTCTCACAAGTTATCTTTGTACTTTATAATTTACTTGAAATGGAAATCTAAGTCTGTAGATTCTGAAATGGAGATGATCACCAGTTATAAATGCCACATTGACTACGGCCCACTGATGAAGTGGCATGTGACCACTGGGGTATTTTGGGTCCACACTGGATTTCTCAGCCTAAGGGATTATATTTCAACAGAAAGCATAGAGGAACTGTGAAACCAAGGTCATTATACATACATCACACATTTTTTCATGTGCGTGTGACAGAAGTCAGCAGCTGCGGGTCCCCCGTGCCCATCATAAACCGCAAAGTACAGCACCTCCTCTGTCAGCTGTGCGAACTCAAACCGATCTTCGTTTTCTTTCCGTTTGCCAATGAGGGAGGCACAGCCCACATTCTCCAGGCTAATTTTGGGGATTGGCTTGCCATACTTGATGCTAGGTGGCAGCAGAATTGGTTCATCAATACGGTTATCCCAGATCCCAAAATTGTCCCAAGTAGCTGGTTGCCCACTTCCATCGGGATCGAATCGAGAACACCTCGGCTCGGAAATGGAGCTGTAGCAGGTAGGAGTCACCTGTCTGTTGTCCTGCAGAAGGACAGATCTTAACAATACTCTCTTCTTCACGTGGTTCCCACCACTTCTCACCAAAGTAATTAAGGCCGCTGATAACATTATGCAAGTCCAAAGGCCTCAGGCACAGGGAAAGACAGAGCAATAGCAGAATTCCTTGAAGAAAACCGATGCACCTAGGGGTGGGGTGGGGCAAAGACAAAGTCACAGTCAGTAATTCAAAACACTGCTAATACATCATCAGAAGCCAGCAACAAAATCGATAAAGAGTCTGAGATTGTGTGTGTGAGTGTGTGCATGTGCGTGTGTGTTAGGAACCCTACATACTATTCTTGAGAATGCTGGATCAAAAATTTACCTACCCCCTTCACAGTGTTTGAATTCTATAAACATTTGACAAAACCAGTCAACATTCTAGGATGAAAGGGCTCACGGGCACTCCCCCAACTGAACCCTCAAGTGCAATGGACAGCTGGTGGATTCTGGGAGAAGCAGAGCCAGTTTTTCTTTACAGGTGTAGCAACTGGTCAGTTGACTATGCTCAGCAAGACTCCCCACCCATGAATATAAATTAGAAACAGTGGTCAAGTGGGGGTCGGGGGTGGGATAAGGGTAAAAGTGGGGACTGGGTAGTAGACTTTAGAGGAGTTAGGAGGACAGAGTGTATATGATCCAAATACCCTGCATGCAATTCTTTTTTAAAAAGTAATAAAAACATTTTGATCAAATTTTAAGATACACAGAAAACTGGTAGTACATCTGTGAGGACATTTTCAGAGACCATGAGATATGAGTTAGTAGTCGGTCAGCAAATGGAGGGCAAAAGACTCATCCTAAATATGGGTGACACCATCTAATAGGTGGGGGCCCCATGGAGCAAAGAACAGAAAGGGGATGCTCCCACAGGACAAGCTAGGGTCTTCTTAAGTGGGTATTTTTTACTCCTAGTCCAATGAATGCCAGACCCCAACTTCTTCAGCCTTTAAAAGAAGATTCTCACTAGTGATTCTACAGGCTGGTTACACACCTTCAACCCCACACTGGGCTCAGAAAAAATTCACATCTTCTGGGGCCCATTAGTTCCCACTAGAACAAATTATTTGGAAGGCCTGGGCCCAGCTGGCCCCTGAATTTGCTCCCTGTATAGCAGTATATATGTTCCCCTCTCATATGTCCTCCTGCTGGTATGGTGCCATCTGCCATGGAGTCGTCATCAGAGCACCTGCTAGCACCATGTCCTTCAAGACCCAGAGCGGCATGAACTAAAGTCACCTAAACAAACTTATTTTGTTTTTAATTATTTTCACACCTATTGATATATGGTGTGAAATTATATATTATATATATATAATATATAATTTCTCCAAGTCACAGGTTTCAATAAAAATATGTGAGTTATAGGTGACAGCAATGAGGAATTTCAAACTCATATAATAAAGCACATATTAGAAGTAATAATCACTAATGGATGTTATTGGTACAGCTGTAATTATTACTTTAATAGATAAGTCAATAGGTGTGAAAAATAAAAAAAATAATATGAGTTTATTTAAGTGACTTTAGTCCATGCACACTTACTTATCAGGAATGTACTACTTTACTTTACAGGACAGCAGACAAATGACTCAAGCTTTGAAACAGCTCTTCTAGGATCCCCCCCCCCCATTTTATGCTTCTCTCGAACCCTCAAAAATCAAATAATAAACACAACTGCATTCTCATCAGAGAACAAGTACCCCAAGATAGATTATTGAATGATAGCATAACTGTGGGCAGTTCCTTTGAGCCTATGCAAATTAATATTTATCTTCAATTTGGCCTTCCCTCATATTATCAACACTCTCACCTCAGAAAGTTAGCAAAGCAGTTATAGAGAAACATCTGCTGGAGAGCATTTTGTTGGCGGAGATTCAGTGTGAGCAGATACAGGAACTAGGTCAACACCACCTAGGCGAACAGATTTAAGTGGTTCCATCTCCTTTGCCAGCCACACCAAAACTAAACCATCTAGATCCCTTTTAGAGCCTCAGGAAAAATATTAAAAGGCAACCTGTGTTCCTAGGCTCCAGGACAACTATCAATTAAACCTGCACACAACCCACAGGTCTAGCTTAACGGTGGAGCCAAGACTTAGCAAGCATAAGACCCTCAATTCAAAAATCTAACCAGTCCCCAAATAAAGACAATAACAGCAAGAGAAAAACAAACATCCTCACCCCAAACCAAACAAAGCTCTGTTCATCAAGAAAGACATCCCCTGCTTCAAGTTTGGAAACAAAACATCATCAGCCCCAGAGATCTTGGAATGCTTGCAGAAACGACCATGAAACAAGAGCAGATGAGGGGAGCAGAATGGACATGAGAAAGACAACAAATACTTAGAACAACAGCAGAAAATGAAGTGCCTTAAAGCAGGGTCTGGAGAACAGCCTGATACATGCCTAAGAAATCTCTTTGTCAGACCAGCAAGCAAGAGCCAGCTGGGATAAGCTTATCAGTTTGTCGACTAGGAGCAGTTACTTAGCAAGTTGTTGCTAATCAGGGAGAATTATGTAAATCTGCAGATTAGAACTCTAAGCTAGACACAGTAAACCATTTAAACAATTACATTTACTCTTTCAAAGTGAAATTACGCTTATTTTTTTACTAAACAAAAGTATCCCAGAAAAGTAAAAGGAATACAAAGCATATTCACAAATACATATGCATAGTCTACTAACAGTAAAGAAACTTTAAATTATGGTAAGAAAATAAGATAAATAATTTGGAATCCTAGATATACACTGTAGCAATCTTGGATTTATTGCTAATTGTACATAAAAGGAAAAAAAAGACTATTGTCTGAACTATTCCAAATTCTTTATTTCCCAATCAAAATAGAAATGCATACAATGTATCACAATTTAAACAATGTATCACAATTTAATCACTTCAGTCTTTAAAATTATGTGTGTGTGCATAAAATTAAAAATATCTATCTACTGAAAGTGAGTATCTGAAAATAAGACTTTTCTATCATTTCCACAATGATTTGTGTGGCTAAGCCTTTCTCCCTACCGTCCTCCACAACCTGATACTTCCAACTGACCAGAAAGAAAGGAAGAGAACTAAAATTACAGTGTGAGAACAAAGTTATCCCCGTGTAAGTAACTCCATCTAGCAGGAGTCTCAGCCAAAGAGGTTAAAGAAGTTGTTACATGTCATCCGCACAGAGTCATTTCAAGACAGCAGCGGTGAAACTCAATTCTACAGAGCAGCACTTTCAGGCCAAATTAGTCAGGGAAGGAGCTGATGAATGTCAAAAACAGTTCAAAAGGGAGATTTATTTCGACCACTTTAAGCAAGCACCTGGCAGACTTGGGAGTTCTGGTAGTGAGCATTACTGATAAGGCTTAGATTTTCCTCTCTCCAGGAACCCCTGTGAGGCAACTACCCATAAAGTGACTGGCACTGTGATATCTTCCCATAATGGAAACACGGGTAATTTTAAAAGATTTTTCATTTTACTTATTTACTTGTGTGTAAGGGGGTGCAATCAATCCTGCAAAGGTCAAAGGACACCTTGTAGGTGCCCCTTCTCTTGCTGTCGGTAGGTCCTGGTGCTAGAACTCAAGCAGCAGACTTGGCAGCAGGCAACATTACCGGCCAAGGCCAAGTGACATCACCAGCCCAATTTTTAATATTCTTAAACTCCAAATTTCTTTACCATCGTCACCAACGAAAACCCACTGCACCCCAATAAACAACTACAATTATCTGAAAACCTCTTAAATGTATTTCAGCAAATCGGCACACAATGTCTTTACCTCCTTTTAGGTAAAGGAGGAAAGAAAATGTATTTATTAGTTTACAGGAAGGAGGAAAGAAAACAAACCGTCAGTGAGCTTCGGGTATATGTGAGCATTTGTTTAGACATGTGAACTGAGAGTCGTAATGGAAAGTACTTATTACTCAATTCTGTGGAAGGGGTGCTGATGTTGTCAAGGAAATAGAGACTCGGACTGCAAGAAAAACAGTTATTAACAAGAACTCATTATCCAAAGCTTCCGTATTTAATGACATTTGTCATACAGCGGTGATCTGGTTTCCAATTTCTACAAGCTACAACACACTCTATCAGGGCAACACCTTCCCTTCCGCTGCAGCCTTGCAGATCTCTGGCTGCCCCAATCGTTTTCTCCCGGGGTACAGGTCCCACAGAGGCCACATCTCCTCTCCCCACCTGAGGCACTTGGGGTGGGGATAGTAGGCTTCGCTGTTACTATTCCTCCAACTCCTAGAACGAAAACATCAGCGGAGCTTTTGAGACTCGAAATTTCCTAGCTGTTTCTATCCATAGCCTCATCTTTGTTTCCTCCGGGTGAATTCTCTCATCTACAGAAAGCGGCTGCAGAAACAGACACCACGAGCCACGTGGCCTTAAGATACAGTGCTTTCCTAGCAAAGCAAAACACAAGCCCTCAGATCCAAATCACTAGGGCTCTGCAATCCTTCTCTACACCCATCGCCTTAGGAGCCCGGCTGGACAGGGTCCTGAGCTGGTTTGCTGGCCTTGACCTAAAATCGTACACGACAGGGCAAACACTCTCAGGCCAGCGTACCCCAGCAGATCTCCGGACACCCGCGGGTCTTCAGGCCGGGAAACC